AATCCCATCACATCTACCCGCCCCACCCCTTTTTTATCCGCTGTGTTTTGATATGCTGAGGTTTTACTATACCTGTTAATGGAACATAAATCTTCAATTTTATTATCCACCCCATCAGCACACTAGCTTTTGTGAAATTGAAGCTAAAAGATATTTGATAAATGTCCCTTCCTCCTCGATAATGAAAACGAGTCTGGAAATCATATTTCAAGGAGCTTTTTTGCCCTCACCCCAACCCCCAAAAGGTTTAAGTTCCTCCAAGCCTTTGATGAGTTGCAAATGTTATTAAGCATTTTGATTTCTTTCCCTTTCATGTCCTGTTTGGAAATTAATGTCTTGAAAAATTGGCTGCAAAAGTTAAGGGTTTTTTTGTTTGTTTGTTTGTTTTTTAAGATAAGAAATCTATTCATCTGTCCAATAAAGCAGCAAAGTGGTAAAAAAAAAAAAAGAATACGTTCTTTGCTTGATGTTTGGCCAATCTTGGGAAAAGTTTTGTCTTGGCCTTTTCAATTTTAGACCTTCAGATGCCTTTTAACTATGGCTTTAGGAAATCCAAGTACTTCAATAACTAGCCCCCGCACTCTCCCCAAATTCCAGCACTACATAGTGAAGCGCAGGTCTTTTAATGTGGCATGGGCCTGGCCCCTTTCCCCTGTTGCAGAGAAGACACTGGTCACATAGGTAATTTAGGTGATGGTGGACTGCTCAATTGAGTCCCACTTCTCCACTGTGCGTCTAAGGAGCCCTGGTGGTGTAGTGGGTATCCGTTGGGCTGCTATTCATCTGGTACACAGTTTGAAAACACCGGCAACTCCATGGGAGAAAGACCAGGCTTTCCACTCTGGTCAGAATCTACTGGATGGTATTGAATTTGGATTGGATGGTGACCTCGATCCCAGCATTTCCATTTCCATTTCCAAAGGTCCTCTGGCTGATCTTTGTTGCATGCATCTCTGTATAAAGCAGCCATTCTGAGATTGCCCCAATATGTCTGCATATAGGCATACATCTGGCTGATTTTAGCTTTAACTTCACATTTCCTTGAATCGATAGGCTGTGCATATTCCCATAATGGTAGTTGAGCAATTTCTTTGTGCTGGTTCCATTTCTTTCCCTCTCTTCAGCACGTCTCCCTCCTTTCCCTCTCTGTACAGTGGTAGCCTTCCTAAAAGGCTCATTTTTAAAAAACAAATCCATAACACCCCTGTAAGTGGGCGCCAGGAAGTTTAGATAACGGCCCCACCGTATTGGGCTGTTTGGCAAGAGCTGGATGCATAAATAGAATGGAATGCGCTGTTATGATTCCCCTGATGAAGGGTGCAATGCTGCTCCAGGGAGAGCCTCCCATCCGTTTATGTTTATTGACCTCCACCATGTGCTGGGGGCTTTGGAGCAAGACAATTACAGCCTTCAATTGAGACATACAATCTACATGGACGTGCACAACCCACCACGGGCTCTGTGGCCGTACTTCATCTACTCAGGTACTTAGACTCAATCGCTGCTGTCAAATGAACTGCATTTTACCAAATGTTCCAGTAGACTCCCTCCTCTGGTTTCCAGAGGTGATTTGTCGAAGCAAGAGCCCCTGCAAACACGTGACACCATTCCGTATTTCTGGCACTTGGACCTTGTGGACAAGAATCATTGAAGCCCTTGTCAATGCCCTCAGCTGAGCTACCTAGGCTGGTGTTTCCTGTGAGATAGCATTCAATTCTGGTTTTTGTGTTTTGTTGGCTTGGAGAGTCTCAGCGAAAAAGGCCTGCATCTGGGTCTTTGTGATGCCATTCTAGGTAGAGAGTGTTACAATTATTAATGGATTAATTGATGATTGATTTCTAAATGAGGATTTGTTGAGACTCTTATGTTTCAGAATCCTTGTGGAACTTTCAGAAGAGAGTAGTAGCAAATTGGACAAATGCATTCTCTTATTTCATGAGGTTCTCACCACAGTAGGGAGCTAGCATGACATAGGAATAAAGGTATTAATTGTATAATTACAATTGAGCATGGAACAGTAAAGAAGAAATAGAATTTTCTATAAAAGCAGCTACTGAGAAATCTGGCCTCATCATAAGTTTTGGGAAGGAAATTATTATTGAACTTAATTTAAGTTTAGTGTTTGTGGCTGAAGGTGCCCGGATGACACAGTTATTAGGAGCTCAGCTACGAGTTAAATGGTTGGCAGAGCAAACCCACCAACTGACTGCTCTATGGGAGAAAAACGTAGTGTCCGTTCCTCTAGAGCAGTGGTTCTCAACCTTCTTAATGCTACGGCCCTTTAATACAGTTCCTCGTGTTATGGTGACCCCACCCCCTAACCACAGTTATTTTGTTGCTACCTCATAACTGTAATTTTGCTACTGTTATGAATCGGGCAACCCCCATGAAAAGGTCTTTTGACCCTCAAAGGGGTCGCGACCCCCAGGTTGAGAACTGCTGCCCTAGAGATTATGGAAATCCTATGGGATAGTTCTATTCTGAGCAGTAGCGTGCACATGATTTATAATGAGCACACAGGTAGTAGGTTTTTCTTTTTCTAACAGACCCATGGCAAGGTTTGTGGGGCCATCTTGGAAGAATGTTCCCGGTAGCAAGGGGCAGGTGTGCAAAGAACCTGGGGAAAGACGGGGTGTACCCTGTCCTGGAGAATGGTGGAAGCTCCATATGAGTAGAAACTGACCATCAGGCTGTTTGAGTAGCTCAGTGGCTTCCCATCACTTTAAGTGAAAACCCAAATGACTGAAAGGACAGGGAAGGCCCTGCACCGTCTGGTCCTGTCTCCATCACTGGTTCTTACCTTCCACATCCTGCTGTTTCCTTTCCACTGGTGTTCTTAGCAAACTCATTCTGCAATGAAGGAATGGGTTGGAGAGGCTACACATGGTGGTACAAGCATCCAAGCTAGGAAGCCGTTAGACCCATCCAGAAAGCAATGCAAGCAGCTGGGTTTTGAGGAGGTGGACGAAAGAAGACATCCTAGAATGAAATAGAGGTGATAAAGCCAACAGGATTTCATGGATGACCGGAAGCTTAGAGGTAACCAAGCGAGAGGAGTCAAGGCAGACACTGAAGTTTCTGTCCTGAAACACGGATGACAGGTGTTAACATCACTGATCAAGGAACATTGGAGAAAGACCAGCTGGGGAGAATGGTACCTGGGGACCTGGTTCTGAGTTCCACATGTCTACAGGACCTCCAAGCTGAGGTGTCAGGTCGTCCGTTGGTTATTTGAGTCTGAAACTCAGAGGAAGCACCCAAGGAAATCAGAAGCATGAGTGCTGCGTATGAGGTTCTGATCTCCGACCTCGTAGGAGAATGGAGACAGTGGATGGTGCAGTTCCCATGTACAAATGTTCAGAGAGTGCCTATTCTTGGGTTAGGTGTTTTGCTAAGTACCGGATGTATAAAAAGGAAAGGCATTCAAGTTAATTCTGTAGGATTGACCTCCCTTTGCCTTAAGACCAAATTACCCTTGACAACATTCAGGACAGAGGACTCTCATTTGACATCTGGAGACAGCTACCACACACAAGCTCAGTCTGTATCCTAACCAGGTGCAGTTGCCCTGCTTCTCCCATGGTGGCCCATGTGTGTCACAGTAGAAGAGCACCACAGGCTTGTCCATGGCTATCTGGTCTTTAGTAGACAGTCCCCCGCCCCCCTCCAAACCCCGCTTACCCCACCCCCGGCAGGCTTTTCTTATGAGGTGCATTCCGCCTTGAAGTTACCAGCCAAGCAGACCAACCCTTTCAACCCCCTGAAATGGAACCGCACTTAGCCCTGTGTTTAGCGGTCTTTGCTTCCATCCAACTCTCTGCAGTCTTGAACTCCTTTAATTCTTGTTTGTCCTTGGCAAACAGAGAGCCTGGGTGGTATGCGTATTCTCTATGGGAGCTCTAAATTCTCTTTTAAAAAATAAAACATTTCTGAGGGTTAAGCATTATCATTTCTTTGGGCCTTGTCTTCTTAGAGCCAAGGATAGAGGATTGCTTCTTACACGCAGATTGCATTCCTCTGCCTAAAGGGCGCTTTGTCTTCAGGCTTTAAAAGATTCTTCCCTTCGTGTAGGTTATAAATGGCTGAAGACGTTCAGATTATGTCCAGATTGACTCCTTTGAAAATCAGGCCACACCTTTCTCATCTGTTCTCACACCAAGAGTGGATTCATTGGCAAAGTGTAGTTTATAGTCCCATTTATTCGACTCTTGTTCTTCTGGAGATTGCAGAGGCTTCTACTCCTGTAAAGAGTTAGAGTCTCAGAAGCCCTCGGGGGCAGTTCTACTCCGCCCTACAGGGCCGCTGCGAATTGGATTCGTCTCAATGACAGTGCACTTTTGGTTTGGGTAGTTTGTCTGGAACCCAGGGCTTAAAAGGACCCAATTTTAAGACAACATCTCTCTACTTATTGTCCGATGATCACCTCCACGACAGGAATCATTGGGGGGGCTGGTTAAAAATGCCAATCCTGGGGCCCAGCAGCCAGAAATGACTGACTACGCCCCAATCCTTTGCTGTTTCCATAAGCACCTGCGATGTTGTCTTTTTTACTCCTGCCGGCACGGAAGGACTGCTCTTGGGCTCCTGGTCAGTATGGACATGTGTCTCTCACTATTAGCGTTTTGTGGCCATGAGAAATTAACATCTCCACAAGCCAGGCCAGTTCCTTACCCATTTGGAAGATTGCTCCTGCAACCTTCAGGGTGACATCATTTCAGTTATTGGTTTTCGACAAAGGAAAACATCGTCACAGGTGTCTTCTTTTGGCATGCATGCATTAAAGGTCCTGGGGCGGAGAAGGAGCGATGGACTGAGAAGGTCGGGGAGGGGAGAGGTGCAGTGGAGGGTCTGAGAAAAGATCTGCCAAGCACTGTGGGCTCAGGTTGTGTTTGAGTGGAACTTTCGGAGTACTTCCAGAAGCTCTGCCCTGTCCCTCATTCCAGAACTACCCAGCAAAATGCCTCTTCTTCCTCTCCCCACCTCCTCCATCCCCTCCACAGGAAGAACGCCGCGTGATTTATGTGGGGAAAATCTGCCCTGACACAACACGCGCCGAGCTGAGGGACCGTTTTGAAGTTTTTGGTGAAATTGAGGAGTGCACAGTAAATCTTCGGGATGATGGGTGAGAATCTTCGAGATTATTTCTTGTTTAGAAGCTGACGTTATGTAAAAAATTATGGCCAGAAGATTACTGGGATGGGAGTTGCCAGTGTAAGTGCTTTGAAAGATGACATGTTGAGTTCAAAACCTTATTTATTTTCTCCCATCCCTATTTATTAATCTTTTTAGTTGAGATTTCCTGTCCCAGAAATAAGTATTTAGCTGCCTGACAGGACAATCACACTGATAAATGGATGCGGTGGTTGAGGCGGGGCGCTCACAAAGGCTCCCCAAAGTAGGACGGGTTAGAGCCACATATGCTAATGCTTCCTAACTGGCTTTGGGCTTCCCCTTCTCTTTCCCATCACAGGGACAGCTACGGTTTCATCACCTACCGCTACACCTGTGACGCTTTCGCTGCTCTGGAAAACGGATACACTCTGCGCAGGTCGAATGAGACTGACTTCGAGCTGTACTTTTGTGGACGCAAGCAATTTTTCAAGTCTCACTATGCAGACCTAGGTATGGATTTCACTCTCCGTGCGATGAGGAACCTGTACGGAGAGCTTCACAGGGGAGCAAATAGCATCTGGAGCCCTTCCGGCTCGAACAGTCACTGTGCTTTACTGGGGGCAATATTAGGATACAGATCCCCACCCACTCCCTTCCCTTTAAAAAAAGATAATAATACGTCCGCTCCAGAGCTTAAATTTTGGCAACCAGGGATGGGTATGTTTCCGCTGAAGTGCTGCATCCTGCCCTGTGTTCTGTGTTGTTTTCTTGTGCGGTGTGTCTGAGTTTTTCGGATGTGTGTGTGAGTGATGCAATGTACACGACACACACATGTACTGCATAGTGCAGTCTATCTGTACATGCATAGAGAGCGTGTGTGATGGGAATGCTGGTAGTCTGTGTTCCCTGTCTACCCTGAGTTCTTTGGGAAGGATCATATCACTGTCATTGTTTTCTGCAACAAAGACGCGAGAGCCTTGTTCCCCACTCCCTTGTTATTTTACAATCTCTTAGAAATGTTTTCACATCCCAGGCATTGTATTTTCGAGTGGGAGAAAGAACGCTCCGGATGCTCAATCACACGAGGCTTTCTTAGTTTAAACGAAAAGCAGACATCAAGAAGAAAAGCCCCATCATGCTTTGAAAGCTTGTCAGTAATGGGCACAGTCCCAGACGGCGTGCTTGCCAGCTTTCTTTTATTTCTCCCTTGAGTTTGTTCATGCCATTACCCACATCCTTCTTCGAGGTGGATACTTACTACTTTCATACCCATTGAACAGAAGGGGACATTGAAGACTACACAATGCTCCCTTTGATTGGGAAAGTTGGCCAGGCTCCAGGGCAACACTTTTGTTGTTGTTGTTGTTGTCAGGTGCCACTCAGTTGCTTCCAACCCATAAGGACCCGCGTGCACAACAGAAGGAAGCAGAGCCCGGTCCCCAACCAATGACAACTGTCTCTCTGAGAAATAGGAAAGCATCTGAAGTAGAACATCGAAACCATCTGTCGGAGAGAATCTCCACCATGGCCAACTGAATGATCTGCCTGCCAGTATTTTGTCTCAAAGAGCCTGGATGGCATAGCGAGTTATGACCTGGGCTGCTAATCATCAAGTCAGCAGTTCCAACCCACCAGCCAGTCCAAGGGAGAGAGAGGTGGCTTTCTACTCCCATAAAGAGTTACAGACTCAGAATCCCCGGGATGGTTTCAGTGTGCCCGGCAGGTTGCTCAGAGTCAGAATCAACTCCATGGCCGGGGGGTTGCTTTCCGTGGGTCCAGTTTCATAAAGCCGAGGGTGTATTTTTTAATGTGCTTTTAAAATGCACTCTTTTCCTCTGTCCACGTAGTATCTAAATGTATCCCCACGGTGGGTTACAGGGTTAAGAGTCACATATCAACAGATTGTAAGGACTGCACCACATTCTTGTGGGTGAATAATGCCATTATGTTTAATCACTCCAGGAGAGCTAAGCATTTATTCCATTTTCAATTTTTGGATATTATAAATAATGCTACAATGAACATCTTAATTGTCTTTCTAAATTCAATTTCCCCCTTTCAGCACAGCATTCCCTATCTCATATGCATATTGTGAGCCTTTCCAGTCTTTGAGGAGGAGCAGAGGCTCAAGGGTGGCAAAACATCATGTGCAAATGACATAAGTATTTAAATGAGTTCATCATCAGCAGACAATTAATATATAAATCTCATTCTCAGCATTATTAGAAATCTATTCAAACTTGCTTTGGGCTTGGTCTAAGGAAAGAAACCAATACCAAATACAGGGACTTTCTCACCCCCACCCCCACCTCACACCCCCGTCCAACGATGTGATGTTTTCCCAGAGTAATTGATATAGGTAGTGTGAATTTTCAGAGGAAATATGCTATAATTCACTTCACCAGCTAAATAGATAGTGTAAAGCAGGGGAGAGGCAGCTGACTGTTAGAGAGATAGAGGCCTAGGGATGAAAATATAAAAGGTGGCAAGTCATTTGTTCAAATGTTGGCTGATAAAACCAGTCAAGACAGATTGAAGTCCTGAGTTGATTTGACTTATTTTCTTCAGTGATGAAGGCCAGGGTGTTTCTAGTCTCTCAAAACATCGAGAGTTTAAAATAAGCTACCTAGAGGGCCTTTTGGATCGCGATTCATCACTGGGAGAGGGAGGATAGGATGGTATTTCCAAATTGAACTGGAGCTTCCCTGAAATATTTCTAAGAAGAATGCTTCCCCTCTTGTTATCTCCTGCCTTGCCAGCAGCAACAGAAATGGTGCCATTGCGAAGCAAGCTCTATATTTTCTAAGAAGTACGTTTGATGTGCCTTGTGGGAGTGTGGAGTTTCTCCCAGTTCCCTCAAGCTCTACATTTGCACTAGGGGCCATTCGTATGAGCCAAGGGAAGACTGCTTGCTTGAGAATTCAGGGGCTCTGATCTGCAACCTGGCGCAAGTACTCACCTTGGCCAAGCCATGGATTCCCCCCTCTGCTTCTGGTTCTTCGTTTGTGAGATGAGAATCATCGTAAATGCCATAGAATGTGGTTGTTCAGATGAAATCAGAGTTTTTTGCAGCTGCGGTTGCATGATTTGATTTCCCCTACCATCTGCCTTTTTGTCCTATTGTGGTGGCTTTTGTGTTGCTTTGAGGCTGGAAGCTATGCCACTGGTATTTCAAATGCCAGCAGCATCCCCCATGGTGGGCTGAGTTCAGAAGAGTTTCCAGACTTACAGGCACACACCCACAAAGGAGAGAGAGCTAGGGCCTGGGAATCTACTGCCGAAGTTAACCAAGCCTGTGGATCACAGGCTGTTGTGCACGACCTTGGCTCGGTTAGTTTAGAGAGAGCCTATGGGGTGACAGAACACCAAAGAAGGATGTCACGTTTGGTAGCGTGAAGTCCCAGTGAAGGCGAGAGAAAATCTCCTGGAGGCAGATGGACACACTGTCCACCACCATGGACTCAGACACAGCCACAGTTGCACAGATGGTGTTGCAGCTTGCTATACGTGGGGCCGCCGCAAGTGAGAGCCGACTGGATGGCAAGTAACATCGGCGGCAAACAATTCTGAGGGATAATGATAATGCAAACTGAGGACTTGGCTGTTGTTTCCAAAATGGAAGACACCTCATCAGGAGTGACTTCCGGAGCTGAAAGAAATTCCCATGAGTCTTGTCTGTGTCCCCTGGAAAGTTTCAGTGCATGGGCAGTGACGATGGTGAGCATAGGTTTTCGAGAGTTGGGGAACTATCTGCCAGGTGTGTTGAAGAAAGCAAAGGTAATGTTTCCCAATTAATGTCAATAAACCAGAGCCTACTTCATGAGAATGTCTTATAACTGTTGATTTATTGGACTTCAAATAGACTCCAAGATTAAGACAATTGGATTGAAACATTGACTGTAGGCCTTGAACCCCATCTCCTCTGATCTTTATTTTACGAGAACGTATGATCTGCATTGGGACACAGAACAAGGGAATTTGGGGATTAATCTGAGGTAAAAGGTCAAGACACCTGAGTTTACCAGAACGAATAAAGGGACCTATCATTTTAGATACATGTCATCTGATATTTTCCTTTCTCTTTTTAGTTTACTCCTGCAAATTAATTTGGCCCACACATCCTGTCATTCAACCATTAAGTCTAGTTAATAGACAACTGCAGTGGTTTTTGAGCAAAACATAATGATTCCAAATAACAGCCAGTTTTATAAATAAAACAAGGGATTTAAAGTTATTTGGTCATAGCTCCTGTGGTGAGACCAGGATGCAAATTCTAGTGTCCACAAACCTGCGCAATGCTTAGGCAAACAGTGCAGAGCCAGGCAGTGTTTCCTTCTGGTACATACATGTGTACCTTCCCTGTATGTGGGAATAAACCCCACAGCAACGGGAACCCGGTGCCCATCGGCATCTCTGGAGACTGTCTTATAAGAAAAGCAATGCTCCTATTTGATGACTATCTGAAAGAAGAAAGACACAGAAAAATTAAACTATGATTGTAGGAGCAGAGAGAAGTCCTGGTAGTGTAGTGAGTCTGTGTTGGGCTGCTAACTGCAAGGTCAGCAGTCCAGAAGCACCAGCTGCTCTGATGGAGAAAGACGAGGCTTTCAGCTCCAGTAAAGAGTTGTAGTCTCAGAGACCCAAGGGGCATTTCTTCCTGGTCCTGTAGGGTTGCTATGAATCAACATTGACTTGATGGGAGTGAGTTCGACTTTTGAGACAGGAGCAGATAGGAGTGGTTCATTCCCCACATAGCCTTGATCTGGTATTAGTGTTGGTGTGCAACGTAAACAAATGCCCAAAAATGAAATACGGTTAGGTTTCTCTGGTGGAAATCCCTCGGTCCTTGGCTTTGCGTGAGAACGAATTCACTCGGAAGACTGGTTTGTGATCCCAGTGGGTTTTATAAAGGATAGAAGTGTCAGGTTTTTACACAGGCACCCCCAGGGCACTTCACACCCACACGGGGAAACCTGCGGACAGAGAAAAATCTCAGTCAGGGGAGCAGCTGGAAAAGCAGCCGTGTGGGCTTCAGATCTTGGCTTTTCAGGGCGCCCCTTGGGAGGCGTGGTTGGTGGTACTAGTTGACCCCATTGGCTGAATTAAGCTCACCTGGACCAGCTTGGGGCCTACCGCCCACCTAGATATACTGCCCCTTCCTGGCTTGGAACCTGAATTTTGGAGCATGCCCACTGGACACCCTGGTCCCTGTTCTGACTACCTAACACTACCATGTATATCATAAGTATCAACTAATTACATTATCCACATCATGACGAGGTAACCCAGGTACGTGTACATAAACCCAGATCCCAGTTCAAGATTCATGCAACTAATCACAGACTTTGTGCCCGTAGCTTACTAGGTACTAGGAAAGAAATTGTATCTACTTCTGCCCGGGCAGAACCACTGTATTTGTACACAGCAGCCAGCAGACTTCACAATGAAAAACTTACTCCGTGTCCTCAAATCCATGCAGACTCACAGTGACTCTATAAGACAGTACAGACAGCCCCTCTGGGTTTTTAAGACAGTAAATCTTCAAAGGACCTCATTTTTGTCCTGGGGAACAACTGGTGGTTCCCAACTGCTCACCTTGTGGTTACCAGTTCAATGTTGGACCCACTCCCTACCCAGCTAGGACTGTAGAAACAGCCACTCTGAAGACCACTGCCCTGAAATAGTTTTAGCATTTGTGAAAGAAAATACTAAAATGTGGGAAATCTACACTACATTTAGAAGAAGGCAAAACTTGGAAAATTGTCGTTGTTTTTTTGAAATTCTCTATAAAGAAGAAATGATCTGACTATATATTCTCCATGATTCCATGCCAATCTTTCATCAGCCAGACTCATTGGGAGAATCTTGCATCTTGGTCTAAGAAGCCTGTGGATTTCAGATTTTAGCTAAGCTCTTACAATGAGTGGAACTTTTATTTTATTTATTTTTTATTCTAACAATTTTTAAAAATTATTTATGCAATAGCTATTCCTGGGAAGTTAGTATTACAAATAGCCTTTGAAGGGACAGGTCAAAACAAGTCTAATGTCAGGCTTGAGCGCCTTAACATCGTAATGAGGAAAGATTGGTTATTTTTGCCTTTGTTTTCAAGTGTTAAGTAGTTGTAATATGTGCTTTTCTTGTTGTGTTTGAGGGGGCGGAAAGCGGTCTAGAGGAAGAATCATCAGGGAGAAGGAACCATAATAACTGAAGGCATTTTCTTGCCCTTGAATGAAAGTTGGTTGAGTACTAGATGGAGACTGGAGGAAGCAGCCCATGCACCCTTCCCCCAGAGAACCTCTGTCTCTTTGAACAATTCTATTGCGCACCTCATTCTGAGTAGAGTGTGGAAATACTCATCTTTAGTAGATTTCTTTATGTTTTATCCCAAAGATTTTGTTTCCCTGTTTGCTCTTCAAGTAAGCTCTTTCAAAGGAATGGATGTTTTGCAAATGCCTACTTCAATCCCAAGTATTCCATTCCATCCCCAAAATCCACTCCCATCCCAATAGTCCAACCCCTCTGACATGCTGGATCAGCAGAGGTCTCCGATGTTGTCATACTGAGCAATGGAGAAAGATCAGAAATACATAAAAAGAAGAACTCTATTTCCTAATAACTGTGGCTATAACATCTCTCTTTAGTTAAGGATGATTTGAAATATGTAGACCTTTCCATAAAAGCTAACTTGGACTAGTTTAAGACTGCCCGCTACCCCACTCTACCCTTCAAAAAAAATAGCATGACTTTATCAGTGGCTCTATATTTTCCCACTCGTGAATGGATTAAAAAGCCTGAATTACTCACTTTAGATATGAGACAAGCAGCTTGGATGGCACAATTGGTTAAGTGTTGCTCTACTACCAGCACAAGGATTGGCAGTTCAAACTCACCCAGAGAAGCCTTGGGAGAAGGCTTGGTGATTGCTTATGAAAGGTCACGGGTTATTTAAAAAAAATCCTTAGGAAGCCAGTTCTCCAGTGCAGGCATGAGGCTGCTATGAGTTGGTGTTGACTCAACTGGCAACCGGTCTTTTTGTTATTTTTTTGGATTGGGGCACGAGGTCCCTGGGTGACCCAAATGCCTAAGCATTGGACTACTAACCAAACAGTCAATGGTTGAAACCCACCCAGAAGTGCCTCAGAAGAAAGGTCTGGCCACCTGTTTCCAAAAGGTGACCGTTGTGGACACCGTGTGAGGGCTGTTTACCTCCACAAGTATGGGGACTCCCTGCGTCGGAAATGACCCAGTGCAATTGGATTGGTTTGGTTTGGGGTTATATGTGAGATATTCTCCTAGACTTCTAAACTGGGGACATTTTCCTTACAATCCAGGAGTCCCCTGCCCCATGAAGCCAGCATGAATAACTCGATCATAGGTCCCTCCAGCCTTGAGAGGGGTCAGCAGAGTGGAGATTGGCGGGAGTCCTACTTAAGTAGCCTCTGCGCTCCGTGAAACCCGTCTCGTCAAAGCACAGTTAGTTCCACCTTCTATTTGTGTACGAGGAACTTCAAAAAGTTCCCGGAGGAATGGAATTTAAAAATAATGGAGTCTGCCTGGGAGCGTGTTTGGAACCGCTCCTTTCTGCTTCTATGTTGTTGAGCTCCCGACAGCAAGCCACGTAACATTTCTGCATAGGGATTGTGCTGTGGAGGACAGAGGAAGGCCTTGTCTGTCAATACAGAAATTCAGGCTCATCTGCCTATTGCGCAGAGATGGTTAAACTCGGAAACGAGTCACCAGCTGAGTAGTATGGACACTCATCAGCCACCCCCATCCCAAATGAATTGGCACTCATACCCATTAAAGTTGGGTGTTCTTTTAAAAAATGCATTGCTATGGAATCAGGGAGTCTTGAATTGAAGTGATTGAATCAATGGCCATCAGCAAGAGTTGCATCTAACCTGGCTTGGGTTTCTTTCAGATTCCAACTCCGATGACTTTGACCCTGCTTCCACCAAGAGCAAGTATGACTCTCTGGATTTCGATAGTTTACTGAAAGAGGCTCAGAGAAGCTTGCGCAGGTAACCTGTTCCTTCCCTGGATGACAGAGGCCTGGTGAATACCTCACGGGACAGCGCGTCCTTCCCAGACAGACTCTTGCAAGTCATACTTAGGAATTTCTCCTACTTTACACTCTGTACAAAACAAACAAAACAAAACAACAACAATACAACAAGAACAACAACAATGGTTTACATGAACACAGCTGCTGAAGAGCAAAGAGTATGGATATGCAGTAAGCACATGTTTATTCATGGGTGTCGGCTTTGCGTTCCCTGGAGTCTGTTGGTGATGGAGTGCCTGTGTGCGTGCCTGCGTGTGCACATGTGCACACACCTGGTTTGGGGGGAGGATGTGTGTATTCATGTTAGGGACACCTGACAACAGTGTGCAGGGGGGCAAACCACTTCAAATGGCAGCAGTTCCATGGAAACACACTTAAACACCTAGAACTTCAAAATGTTCCTACTCTATTCAAAAGGAAAAAAAGAAATATATGTATAGCCTAAAAATTATAAAAGGAAAGAAAAACCAACCAACCACAGACCACGCTAAAATGACAGCTGCTGATGTCCGAGCATCAGCCACCGTACTCTGGTTCATTTTTGTTTCTTAAATGAAAGAGCAGATTCAACTCGAAGCAAGCTTTCTCTCCTAACGTTCTGATTCTATGACAATCCTGACGAAACCCTAAGTTGCGTAGAACAAATATCCTCTCTCCTCTCTCTCTCTTCTCTCTCGCTCTATCCCCTCTCACTCTCTCCTTCCCACCCTTCCTTCTTAATTTCGTACTTTCGGTTCGCCATGGGGTCTGGGTGGGAGAGGAGACTGTGGGTGCCGGCTTAATAGAACACTCCTCACATTTTGACGTTTCTGTTGTCCGTCCTTTATCCTGACACCCATGTCAACGTCCAAATGTCAAAAGCCTTGTCAATGGTCAAGCGCACAGCTGCTTCAGCGGTTCTTGTCGAGCAGCCGACACGGTGTTACATTACCCACCAGAGTGCGTAGAGCGCTCTGGGATGTCGTCAGATAGCATCATTGCTACATTCTCCGATGTAGTTAAGTATTTACCGAGGTTTAATGGAGTATTTTTATTTTGTGTACATATTCTACAAAATGTTCTTTTTTTGTTACAGCTATGCACTGTAAATGCAGCCTTCTTTTCAAAACCGCTCAATTTTTCTTAATCAAGAATATTCAAAATGTAACTAGGAGGTGAAACCATTATTGTACACTAACCTATTTAGAAGCTAAACTTACTGCTTATCTATATTTGATTGTAAAAACACAAAAACAACAAAAAAAGACAAGTGTGTGTGTCCTTTGAGTGCAGCAGCAACGACGCTCCATGCAGCCCACCCCGTCACCAGTGAGCTTCGCGATCTTCAGTCTCTAGTCAAGAGATATCTTAGTCCCTTAGTCCCTTAAAGGTATTAACCACTTCTGCGATATTTTTCCACATTTTTCTTGTTGCTTGTTTTTCCTTTGAAGTTTTATACACTGGATTTGTTAGGGGAATGAAATTTTCTCATCTAAAATTTTTCTAGAAGATAATCATGATTTTATGTAAAGTCTCTCAATGGGTAACCATTAAGAAATGTTTTTATTTTCTCTATCAACAGTAGTTTTGAAACTAGAGGTCAAAAAAAAGAATCTTTTTAAAAATGCTGTTTTCTTTTAATTTTTTGTGATTTTAATTTGATACGAAATGCTGAGGTAAATAATTAAGTATGATTTTTACAATAATCAATGTGTGTGTGAAGAGTCTCGGAAGCCGGTTATCTCTTTTCCCTTGGCAGAGTGTGATGATGGTATTTATCTGTATTTTTTACAGTTATGCATCCTGTATAAATACTGATATTTCATTCCTTTGTTTACTGAAGAGACATTATTTATCGGTTGCAAATAGCCTATTTATTATAAATTATGATATGATGAAAATAATAAAGCCAGTGGAAATTTTCTACCTAGAATGCATGGCAATTGTCAGGTGGGAGTTTTAAAGTGCTTCATTTGGGAAAAAAAAAAAACCACACAAACAAACAAACAAAAATTCAGCTTCTGCAGAAGCATTGTTTCTACTTGTACTAGCACGGCCTCTAATGCGACCATGGTGTTGTCCTTGATGACATTGCTTCTGCTCAATTCAATTTAAAAATTTTAAAAATTTTTAAAAAAAAGAGAAAGAAATTCTGAAAAACCTCCATTTTGTGCGTCAGGATTTCATCTGCGCGTGGAGTCCCTGGAATGGAATTCGGTCACGTTTGGAGCGTGTATTCATGTTTCTAAATTGAGATGCGCTCACTCTTTGGCAGACATACCTTCTCTGGAAGACATGATGGATCTACTGCTTTTAGCATTCTTTTCCTTTCCACCCAACGCAAAGGTATAAACCGGATTTTCACCCCCAGGCCGATGCAGCCCATCTTGATAGCTGCACTCAGTTATCACCAGCATATTGTGTTCCGAGTGAATCCACCGTCTGTCCTGTCGGATGCTTGCTTGAGTTCTTGGCTTCTTCTTTATAAGTAGATAGAAAGCAATAAAAAAATACTAGAAAATAAAAGAACTTGACCACAGGTTCTACGTTACGACGGCAACACATCTTTATTCCGCCTAATTCTTGTTGTGCTGTAGGTGAAATGCAGGTACTTTAACTCTGTGTGAACGCCAAACTAAAGTTTACAGTCTTTTTTTCCGGAAGTTTCAGTATCTTCTGTTGTAGAATAATAATAATATAAAAAAGACTATTAAGAGCAATAAATTATTTTTAAGAAATCAATATTTAGTAAATCGTATTATGTGTTCAAGGACCAGATGTGTTATCTATTTTGCCTTTAAATTTTTTTCTGTTTTCTTTTTCTTTTTTTGTGATCCAATTTGAAATGCATTCGCTTTTTTTGCGCCCTGGACTGCTGACACGAGCATAAGACTGGGTTCCTTTTTCTTCCATTTTCAAAAGACAACACTTCCAAGTTCATATTGAGGATTAATCTCTTCCCCCATCTGGCCTGGCAAATATCTTTACCATGAAGATAGTTTTCCTCTGCGGACTTTGAATTGCATCTGAAATTAGTGCAAAAAAAGAATCACTAGACCGCCCAAATAGCGCTTTTTGTATCTTATGCAGGCACTGTGGGTAGCCCATCAAAATGTAAACTGTGTTCCTTTTATTTTCTCTTTTCTTCTTGGAAGCAAATATTTCAAATTGCCACACGTATCCCATCCTTACTGGAGGCAGATTTCAGCATAGATCTTTAGGATTTTTTAGATGATCGTGGGCCATTGCTTTCATGCTGTGGTAAGTACCACATTTATAATTTCGGCAACTGAACTGGTGCTTTTGAAAGGTGGGGGGTTCTTTTTTTCCTTTTTAAAGAAATGTAGCCGAATCATCCATCCAGTGCGACAGAATCCTTTTGTTTCTCCTTGCTACGGGACCGTGAGCGCACAATGACTGGGCTGTCAACATTCAGAGCCAGACACGAGAGAGGGAGCTTTGCCCTATTGGGGTGTAATGGTTGGGCCAGTTGAGAAAACAAAACTAAAACTAAAAAGGAAACCTTTTCCTGCCTTTAGATGTGAGCTTCCAGTAGGTAATGATTGTGTGTCCCTTTCTGATGGCTGTGAAGAGAACTTCAATCGTTGTAGTCTAAGACCTGATCTATAGATGACCTAGAATAGCCATGTACTATAATGTGATGATTCTCAATTTGTACCTATGTGACGGACGTTGTTCAAGAATGTGAACTGCGGACTCGATGGAGCTACTTTAAGATGTGTAGGGGAAACGATAATGCTGTTGGGTGGCCTATGCTGAGCAGGGAAAGTGAGCGATTTGTGGAGCCCTTGCTGGGCTTTTTATTTTTATTATTATTTTTTTCCACCTGCCAATTCTACATGTATTGTTGTGGTTTTATTCATTGTATGAAAATTCCTGTGATTTTTTTTTAAATGTGCAGTACACATCAGCCTCACTGAGCTAATAAAGGGAAACGAAGGTTTCAAATCTACTTCTGCTTTCCTTATTTATCGGAACCAAATGCCCGACATGTTGCTCAGATCAATGCATGTGACGCCCTCACTGGGTTTCAGCTCCCTCACTCCCCCCCCCCCCCCCCCCCCCCCCAGCTTGCCCATATTCGTGGGGGATTTCAGCTCTCAGGTAAGGTGCACCTGAAGCAGAGAAGGCAGACCAGATGTGATGGGTTTCACTACTGACCATTAGGAGGTGGAAAGTGACTTGGAATTTTATCAAATGAATAGCTCCTATTCTTGTACTTAACTCAGGAAAGTATGTGTAGCTAATGTTTAGAGACACATACTTCCCCAAGTATATTGATAGATGCACATATATGGCCACACATATGGATGGATAAACGCTTTAATAGTTGTATTGGCATAGCATTCACATGTCATACAATTCGACCCTGTAATCACAGTAAGAAGCATTCTGTAATGATCACCACACTCAGTTTCACAACATTTTCTTCTTTCTCAAACTCCTTAGCTCCCTCCCCATTGTCCCCAAACACCCCGGGCCCCCAGGAAATATCAGTCCAGACACTGTCTCTGTAGACTCACCTCTCCTGAATTTTACGTACGGAACATCTTCCCACAAAACAAAACCCAACAGCAAGGACAACAAAAAGGAAGCAGAACTCGTTCTCTAGATTTTTGAGCCAACTATGATCTCGAGGGAGAATAGGGCTCAATATTCGGTGTATTGTTGTTAAGTGCCAGCAAAGCAGTTGCGACTGCTGGACCCCCTCTGCACAACAGAACGAACCACTGCCTGTCCGGCAGCATCCTCGCATTGTCCATGGGCTTGAGCCCGTGTGTGCAGAGACCCTGGCCTCCATCTTGCTGAGAGCCTTCCTCTCTTCAGCTCAGGAATCGTGCTGTTCTCAATTGACTGAATCTTTCTGGAAGAGGAGTCGTGTCACAGGACCCAAGCCTCCACTATGTAGAAGTCATCAGGTAAAATGTGGGATGAACGGGTAGCTGGTAGCTGCAGCTCTTCCTGTCAAGGTGACCATGGTGCCCGGAAAGTGGCAGTGGTCCCCACGACAGAGAAAGCATGGTTATTGCTTGCAGTTTCAGATGGTCTTACCCATCCCTAATGTCTTGCATTGCAAGATGCCACATCAGCACCGTTGGATTAAAGACCATTTTGACTAATGGCAGCCAACCCCAGTGTTTCACCTCCCTACCATACCACCCTAGAGGGGGGGTAAACAAACATGTTTGTAATTATTGGGGATGTGATAGAGCTATCAGCAGTTTGTCATCATCAATGTGTGGAACAGTTCCTCTGGATTAATTTGGTTTTTCTGTGTCAGTGTAAATGGAGCTCATTCTTCAAACCAAACCAAAGCCAACCAAACAAAACCCCAAGACTTCCACTATGATGCCCCGCCGAGGGTGCATTCATCTGCAACTCTGGGTTCCAAGCATTCCTGAGACTCACTGGCTGTGCCTGGGATCCCATCTCCTCTTCACTGATGCTGAAGTTTTGTGGGCATTTTTAATCATCTGGTGCAGAGAAGCCAAGGGTGTGATAATAATGCAATTTCTTTGCAAAGGGTTAACATTTAACCCTCTTCAACCTTTGTGGGTAGGGGGAAACATGGAGACTGATTTCAAGAAGCTGTAGTCTTAGCTCTTCATTGTTTTGTGAGCCATCCTGCTGAGAGAGAGAGAAGAGAGAGAGAGAGAAGAGAAGAGATTCATGTTGTCCTCACAACATGAAATAACTTCCATCCCCGAGGATACTAATGGCAAAATAATTTTTGAAACCCAAATTAGGCTGGCAAAAACGAGCACTTGATGATATGAATAGTTTATTCAAAAAGAGCTTGTCTCAATTCAAAAGTCCTCCAAACTCAATCTGTCTAAACTAGATAAAATGTGATAGTGAGCCTAAATTCTCTTTTAGAACGGCCAGGTTTCGCCTCATCGTAGGGTTCTTTAGCTAATCATTGGACACGATTTACAGCCCTACCAGCAGTATTATGCTCATTGGGCACGAGTGTTATTACCAGCAACACAGTTGTAACTCAGTACTAATTATAGAATATGTTAACCAAAGTGTACTCTTTGCAACATTTACTTTATGTTAATCTTCACTTTTCCAGGATGCCTCGCCATCCCTTGTTTTCAAACACACTGTACACCATTATACATCAATCTCACTACTCTATCAAACAGTGGAGAATAATAAAGAAGGTCACAACTCAGAGAGAAGTTCCTTGGAGGTTTGTAACATCATGATTTAAATCTCAGAAAGATTTAATCAAAAGCTGAATTAATCCCTGGGGGAAAAGATGCCACATAGATTCACTGGATAGGCTCAAAAACAGGCTCTGTCTTTTCACTGGGCTCTGTTAATATGTTGGGGAAAAGCAACATTGCTTTTCTGTGAAGAATAAAATATTGCATCAGTGGGGACAGAGGCTAATACGCCAGGACCTACGTACCATGATTCTTTCTATTCAAAATGGCCTCACTTAATCACCTTGGCTTTGCCACCATTTCTTCTACCGGTGCAGAACTGTGATGTCAAATACCCTCCACCCCCTTGTTCTCCTCAATACACCCCATCTGATTCCAGGAATTCCACAGAATCCCCCAATCTCCACTCCAGTCAAGCATGTGGAATGTAAGGCACAGGGCTGGTTTCCAACTCCGTTGTTAGAATCAGGTGATGGCCATTGGGCAAATTCTTGGTGTTCAGGAACACTGGAAACTTGGCGAAAGAAGCCATCAGAAAGTGGGGGGAGGGCATCTAATACCAGGTTCTACTGAAATCTCTCACGTTTCTCCATGAGTATCATGCTCCTTAAGGGCAAAGGGCCACCACCACCTTCCAACATTCCCACCACCCCACCCCATACCCATAATCCCATGAGGGTGCAATCATCTTCCTATTAGCTCAGCCCATTGCTTCTCATCAGCTGACTTACAGAAGGGGCAAAGTGGCATTACTTCATTGAAAACAGTAAGAGAACTCTTAGAGGAGAAAGCCAAATGATTCCCATAATATTTTCATGATTAAATTAAATGAGCATAATTATACATGCACATATGCACACCAAGGCAATATGATAATCAAGACCCTTAAAATATTGTATTGTTTCAAATTTATGCTTATAGCACTTACGGAAGGCAAGTAGCTAGTGTGATGTCGGAATTTGCATATTGACCATTTTCATATATTAATTTTTAGTAGGAAGGAACTGAAGTATTTGGAAAAATCCTGGGGTGCTTTAGAAACAATATTGTGGCTCTCTTCTTCTTTTTTGGAGCATCAGGGGTACTTATCAACATTATCCTCTTTTTTCTCCCACATAGTTTTCTGTGATGGATTTTCAACAAGATGACATCCAAGTGAAAGCCAAAATTAAATGGGAAGGAAAGAATGTGAAGTGGTAAAATCCTAAATAGCTTATTAGACTACTTAATTGGAGGGAATTTATTTTTGCTGCTGTTAGGAACTCTATAGTCAAGCTTCTCTTTAGCAATACTAATTGATGGGGGTGGGGGTGTTTAGGGAATGATAGCGATAGTAATATAGTTACCCGCACAGTACCCTGCAGCAAGTCATTGAAGGGGATGCGCAGGTACTTTCTGTTGATTGACTTTGGTGGTGGTGAAAAGCAAGCTGCATCTTCATTCAAAGCATTGCTTTCTCACTCCATTGCCAACAAGAGCACTTTCTTATTCCAATCATCACTTCACAGTGCACTTAAAAGACCAGCCCCATCCTTAACAGGAATCTAGGAGGCTGCTCTTCTGCCTAGGTTAGCCATTTAGTGGGGTTTCAGTTTGATCACTGTCCCCTTTCATCCCAGGCCTCTCTACACTCTCCTCCATATGTTGGCCGGGACATGTGAACACTATCAGAAAAGGACGATTAATTACCCTGCTTCCCAGAGAAGCATAAGTGAGTAAACCAGCCACACAGCAGGGGCTAGGGCATGCGAGGTTCATGTCAGATAACTTAACGATCCAGTGCTGTGGCTGCCTTTCTTCTCCTTAGATTATCTCACTGCATGGGGAAAGCGTCCCGGGTGCCCATTCCATGAGCTCCCTTTCCCAGGGTCAACCATCTGGATGTTAGCCTACCCTATTCAGTATGAGAATACTTGGAAAGAAAGCAAAAACTGACGGTCCCTACCCAACCCAACGTGTGGCCTACAACATTCCTCTCACTCTCCGGAGGGTCTGAACATGATGGGTGTTGGGTTGACACGTTTCCATTTTCACGGCAGGTGTGGTTGCATCAAAAGAGAGTGAGTGGCCCGATGAATGAAACAATTCATAGACAGCTCATAAGAGTTCCTTTGACACGTGCCACCAGGGTCTCGTGCACTCTGTGCCGTGGTGCCCCATGGAAGAGGCTTGGCCTCTTGCCGAGGTCAGCTGAAGGAAAGAGAAGGGATAAAGAGAAGGTTAACCAAACACGTGTGGACTTCAGGTACAAAGCAAGGTTTGGAGCATGGTTTCCTGTGGTTTTCTATTTGATTTTCATGCCAACTCATTCCTCGGCGTTGTGTAAACAAAAGAAAGAATTGTACAGCGAGAGGTCAGCAGTGTTGGGGGAAGGGATCAGGCCTTACAGTGCCAGCTCCATGTGTGTAGGTACATCTGGGTCCACCAGACAGCAACAGGCCTTTGTCAATCTGGTGTTTGCTCAGAGGGTTTAATGAAAACCCTATTTATGGCCTGTCTCATTCACTAAATTGATGCTCAGCTCTTAGGGATCTACATAGCCATGCTTCTTGTATCAAAACTGCCCGTTTTAATTTTAGATGACTCTCCCTGTCCCCATGAGAAGGCAAGTATGAGAAAAATAAGACCATTCAACTGCCATTGAATCAATTCTGTCTCAGAGACACCCCAAAGTACAGAACAGAAATGATTCCTAGGGATTCTGAGAGTGAAAATTGTTACAACAGCAGAAAGCCTATCTTTCTGGTGGAGCTGCTTTGCTTGTGGGTTCGAACTGCTG